CCTCTGTGGGATGTGTGTCAGATTCAGGGGCTAATTATTCCATCTCAGCAGAGCAGGAGCCACAAACAGGAGCCTAACTGACCTTCCTCTCCCCATGGCTGGAACTTGGTTTAAGTATACTTGCTCTCCAGGTGCTCCCTCCAGAGGCTCAGAATCTACTTAGAAGTTCCTCCAAGGTAGAGAGTTAGGCTAGGTATGTGGATCACTGTGAGTTCAAGGCCAGCCTGATCTACATAGTGAGCAAGACATAGACAGCAAGGGTTATGTAGAGTCTTTCTTAGATAGGTAGATAGGTAGATAGGTAGGTAGGTAGGTAGATAGATAGATAGATAGATAGATAGATAGATAGATAGATAGATAGCAGGTCTTTAGAAACAGGGTTACCATTCCCTGTGTCAAAAGAGCTAGGCCTGGAGGCCTCCTAAACAACTTAAGATAGCAGAATGAACTAATTTTCTGGAAGGCATAGCCTGACAATCCAGTCACCACCACCACTTCCTATAAGAACATTGCCAGATGCTATAGGGACAGGCAGAAGGCTCCGCCCACAAAGTGGCAAGCAGCCTGGTGCCGCTGAAATCTAGAACCTGCATTGAAGGGCAGGTCTCGCTCTGAGGAGGACAGTACAATCAGTGGTCATGCATGTCTAGTCTCCTAGTCATTTCACAGCCTGACCTCCTATTATGCCATGTACTGTTCTGAATGTGAGGGTCAAATGCTAGAGGTCCTGGTCACCCTACTGGAAATCCACCTTGTAGAAACAACCCCAAGGAACAAAAGGAATAGAACAAGGACCCTGCTGCAGTGACACCTGCAAAAGCTAACAGAAATGTTCAATAATAAGAAAAGGCCAAGAAAGGCAGCAAACACACTGCAAGTGATGGTTCACATTAAGAGAGACTAGGCCATGACACATCTCCTCCATATATGATTGATATTCCACAATAAAATACAAAAAAAAAAAAAGTTTTCCATTTGGCCTCAACCGCCTGCAAACAAGAAAGCTTGAGGTTCTGAAATAAAGCTAGATAAAATGGGAATTATAGATCAGGTTTATTTTCTTTTTCAAAACAGTCATTTTTGCTGGCCATTGTGGTTCTTCCTATAACCCGCAGCACTTGAAAGGCTCAGACAGAAAAAAAAAAAAAAAAGTGAACAAATGGCCAGTCAGCCAATTGTGGTGCTGTAGGTCTGTAATCCAGCATTTGGAAAGTAAAGGCATAAGGATCAGGAGTTCAAAGGCCAGTGCCAGCTACATAGCAAATTTAGGGTCATGAAATATTAATAAAGCCCTCACCTAAATATCTTCCTTTATTCTATTGTTTCTGTTAGACACACACAAGTTTACTTGGGGCTGGAGAAATGGCTCAGCAGTTAAGACCATTTGTAGACCTCTCTTGAAGAGCGCCTGGGTTTAGTTCCCAACACTCATATAGCAATTCACATCTACCTGCAACCTGAGTTCCGAGACCCATCACACTCTCTGACATCTTTGGGCACATACATGCAGGCAAACACAAGTTATTCCACCACCTGACTCCCTCCTCCATGAAAGGGCTCTACTATGTCGGCTGTGACGCTTGACACTAAAAACATCTTAAGAATATGTAACTTGTTTATGTGGCACCTTGAATGACAATGGGCCCCATAGGCTCATGTTTGAATATTTGCCTCCCCTCCCTCCAATTAGTGTTTCAGGAGTGTCAGAAGGCACAGTCTTGTGGGAGGAAGTGTCACTAGGAGCAGGCTTTGAGGTTTCCAGAGACTTGGGTTATCCCTAGTCTCTTGCAGAGGAAGATGTAAGCTCTCAGCTGTTCCTACTGCCATGCCTTTGTACTACCATAATAGACTCTTAACCCTCTGAAACCAGAAACCCAAAGAAAGACTTTATGAGTTGCTGTAGTTATTTGAATGCTTGGTCCCCAGTTAGTGGACGTCTCCATATCTTTATTCATTGGCTGGATGGCCCAGAAAGTCCCGGGATAGGTGGGATTTGAGATTCAAAGGCTCATTCATGCTAGGCCTTCTGTCTCTCTTTTTCCACTTGCTCCCCATCTGTGGATGTGGATGCAAAGCTCCCAGCTACTGCAATGCCAGTCTCCTTCCCACCATGATGATGAATGGACTCTCTGAAACTGTAAGCCAGCCCCAACTAATGCCTTTATAAGAGTTGCCATGGTGATCGTGTCTCTTCACATCAACAGAAAGATAACTAAGACAGTTACTGGTTTTTGTTTTTGAAACAAGATTTTCACTCTATGCCCTAGGCAGGCCTCCAACATGTAGTGTTCCACCTGTCTGGTGCCACCACACCCAGTATCTCAGCATTTAGGAAGCTTCATGAGGTCCAGGCCAGCCTGAGCTACATAGGAAACATGTCTCAAAAAAAAAAAAAACTGATGATATTCAGTGCTGATGTTCAGTCAGTTCAGTAGTAGAACACTTGCCTAGCAGGCACGAGACCTTGAATTCTATCCCTAATATAGAAAACTTAAAAAAAAAAATAACTTTAAAAACATTACATAAAAGCTGGGCATGGTGGTGCACGCCTTTAATCCTAGCACTTGGGAGGCAGCCTGGTCTATGTAGTGAGTTCCAGGGCAGCCAGGACTACACAGAGAAATCCTGGCTCAAAAAAGCAAACGAAACAAATTTCCATAAAATAGTTAAGGAAAATAATGTGTTCAATAGGAGGTAGAAAACATCAAAGATAAATTACAAACACCTAAAGGATCATCTTGTAAACGAATGAATAGCAATGTGGGACTATTTTAATGCTGGTTTCATTATGGCAAAGCTCTTGAGATCAAGAACCTAGGAAAACTACACAATACAGTGTACCAGCCATAAATACTGCTCCTTTTTTCTCAGAAATTCTTCCCTTGAGAATTTTCATAAGGAAATAATCTAATAAAATTTAAAAACCAAGCAGAAATTACAGACCACAGCATTGAGTTAAGAACTGGAGACAACGTGTACACCATGGAACTGGTTTGCCAAATTCTAGTAAAACAATGGCTCGGTGTGGTGGTGCACACATTTAATCCCAGCACTCAGGAAACAGAGGCAGATCTGTTCAAATAAACAGTTTCCACCAATATGGACTATTCCTGTAGAAACACTGGCAAGAGGGTCACAGATGAGGGCAGTTCCTACCAGCACTCTCTGGAGAGAAGACCATGAACTAAATGTATGAGCAGAGGGCACTACACAGCTTTAGAATGAAGTACATTTTAAGTGTGTGTGTGTGTGTGTGTAATATGAGAAGACCATGAACTAAATGTATGAGCAGAGGGCACTACACAGCTTTAGAATGAAGTACATTTTAAGTGTGTGTGTGTGTGTGTGTAATATGAGTGTACGGTCCTGAGGGCTCAAATCCACAGCCTGTTTTAATGATGGTTTGGGGGGGAAGGGTATTAAAGACAGGGTCTTACTATATATATATATAGCCCTGGCTGTCACTGAATTCACAGAGATCCACGGCTACCTGTAACTCCAGCTCCAGGGAACTAGACCCCTCTTCTGGCCTCCTGGGTCACTATATTCATGTGCACAAACCTATACACACACACACATACTGACATGACGTATATATGCACACACATTCATTCATTCCTCTGTTCACTTCCAAATACCTCCTAGTGCCAGGTGTGGTGGCTCCTGTCTTTATTACCAGCACTTGGGAAGCAGAGGCAGGTGCAATTGAACCCGAGTCTTCTGTAAGAACACAAGCTCACTCAATGGCGGAGCTCATCTCTTCAGTTTCCTATTTTGTTTTTTACAGCCACGTGTTGTGAAAAATTTGACTGCAATGGTTTTGATGATGTGGAGAAATTCTTTGTGGTATAGTGAAAAACGCAGAAGGCTCAACCAACTAGTCAGTGGTGGCTACAACAAAAACTGAAGGAAAACACCATAAGCAATGTACCTAAGTAGTTGCCTCTAGGTTAGTGGTTCTCAACCTTCCCAATGCTGCGACACTTTACTATAGTTCCTCATGTTGTGGTGACCTCCCACAAAATTCTCATTGCTACTTCATAAATATTTGACATGCGACCACTGTGAAAGAGATAGTCGGCCTGAAAAGGGGTCTCGACCCACAAGTTGAGAACCAGCGCTCTAGGTCCTACCACTGTTTTCCTTCTCAGTTGCTTTTATATTTAGTTTTCTGGGGGCTAAAGAGATGGCGCGGTACTTCCGATATTCTTCCAAAGGACCCGAGTTTGACTCCAGCACCTATATGGTGACTCACAGGCATCAGTAAGTCCAGTTCCAAGGGATCTAACCTCCTCACCAGGCACACTAATGGGGCAGACACTTTACATACATAAAATAAAAATTTAAGTAAAAAAAAAAAACGGATTCGTTTTTATAATGCAGGCTGGCCTTGAACTGTAAATCTTTTTGCCCTAACCTTCCCAAGCGCGGGGACTGCAGGCGTGCTCTGTCATGCCATTCGTAAGATTCTGAGGTTTGGTTTAACGTTGGAAAAAGACCTTTTGAATTCTGTACAACTCGTGAGGTCTGAAAGCACCACCTGTAAAGATAGGCAGAAGGTTTTGGGATCCCCAGTGTGGGAGCCACCGGTTCCTGACCAGCAGGCAAACTGGGCCCACGGACGACAGTCAAGGTTGTAGAGTTCGAATCCCTGGGACGACCTGCTTTGGATTCCAAATGTGAAGATGGCGCTAATGGCCGTACCTGCTTCACAGAGCAGTGGAGGATAGGCAACGCCCGTAAAGCTCCCACTGTGCCGGCCGGCAGACTCCACGAAACCTTGCAGCCAGGCTGGGCTCGCCCAACAGGGCCCAAAACGCCAGGCTACGAGCGAGCCAGAGCCGGCCTTCGGGGCGGCCCCCACAGGCCAGCTTCCGGGCGCTCCGCCTCGGCTGGGACCACAGGCCCCGCCTGGCGGGTCCCGCCCGGTCCCGCGGTGCGACGCCCGCGACTGAGACCCCGGAGGATGGACGCGCGTCTCGCGCGGGGTGGACACTCACCATCTCAGACCGATTCCGCAGCTCCGAGTAGCCAACACTCAGCTGCGTTCTCCGCCTTTCTGAGCCTGCGCAGGCTTTTTTTATTTTTCCGAAACGGACAGCTGGAACAGCCTATCAGAAGCCGGGAGGAGGTGGGGGCGGACCGCCGAGAGGCAGCGCCACGGGAGTCTCCCCACCGGGAAAGACTGAAGGCGAGTGCCACCTTTCCTCCCGGCGGTGCGGAAGGGCTGCCGCGTCTCCAGGTCTGCTTTCCCTGCCCAGCGAGGTCCCCGGCAGAGGCCGACTGTTGCCGAAACTCGCTTTGGCCCAGATTGAGGCGGAGACTGGGAAGTTCAAGGAGCCGAGGACGTGGGCAGCCCCGAGGCCGGGAGTCTTAGGAGCAAGCTCTGGGATGAATTAGTCAGGGCTGCCCTGGGCGTGTGAGATTGAGGGTGGCGAACTCCGCCGCAGTCCTTTGTTTCTTTGCAGAAACTCCTTTACATTTCGTTACCATTATCTCGCCTTTAGAAGGGGACCTAGGCCCCTGTTCTGTCCTCTGTTCATTGTTTTCCCTTGCAAAGTTACAAAAAACATTCGGGTACGTAGTGAGCAGCCTCACTCGCGTAGGACCCACTCTTCACAAACTTCTCTTCCCACACTGGGGCTAGCGGAACCAAGCTGGATGATCCATCGCCAGTTTCAATGACAAGTGCCGTTTGTGCAGTGCACGGGCTTGCAGGTGAGGACAGTGATTTCAGTGAGAATGTCGCAGGTCAGACCGAGGACAACGGGCCCTGTGCGCCTGTGTGCCTGATAAGCATAACCTCTCTGGTACATGCCACAAAAATCGATTTATTTTTCGAGGCAGGATTTTTCTATATAGCCATGGCCTCCTGGTATTTGCTACAAAAATCGATTTATTTATTTTGGTTTTCTGTGACAGGGTTTTTCTGTATAGCCCTGGCTGTCCTGGACTCACTTTATAGATCCGCCTGCCTCTGCCTACTGAGTGCTGGGATTACACGTGTGTGCCACCGTGCCCAGCCCAAAAATTGAATCTTAAGAAAATTGGTAGTGGTCTTCAACCTTCCTAAAACTCCGACCCGTTAGTACAGTTCCTTGTGTTGTGACCAACAGCCATAAAACGCTGCTACTTCACTGCTGAAGTCCTGTTACTGTTATGAGTTGTACTGTAAATACCTGATTGCAGGATGTCTGATATGCGACCTGCACATTGTGAACCCGGGCTCTAAGGCCTCTAAACAGACTGCCTCTAAAAGGGCATGTTGGGGGTCAGGAGGACCTCAAGGTCAATCAGGCACACACTTACGCAATCTCAGCACAGCACTTGCTAAAGCAGGAGAGCAGTTTCTCGGCCAGCTTGAACTTCACAGATGGACTCTTGAATCCAAAGCAAAGACATAACCCCCAACAATATCGCAAGGTCATGAAAGACAATGAAGAACCATTACAAATTAAAAATACTGGCAGAAAAATGAGGACTTTGCTTAACTAACTGCTGTGTTGCTAATTTGTTAGTTTTGAATTGTACCAGAGTAGCTGGGATGTTACTATTGGAAAAAGCTAGGTAGAAAAGTGCAAACAACTCTAAAATTTCTTTAAAATGGTCTTTGAAAGGGGCCATTCATGGTGGCACATGACATTAACACCAGCGTTCAGGAGGCCAGCCTAGTCACAGTGAGCTTCAGGACAGCCAGGGTTAGAGAGAGACCCTGTCTCAAAAAAGGGAGTTGGGGGGAGGGCTCAGTGATTAAGAGCACTTGGTGCTCTTGCTGAGGACCTGGGTTCACCTCCCAGCACCCACATGGCAAGCTCACAGTCATCTATCACCATTCCAGAGTATCTGATGACCTGACCTGAGAGCACCAGGCACACATGTGCTATACCATACATGCATGCAGGTAAAACATAAGTGTGTGTGTGTGTATGTGTGGTGGCACACGCCTTTAGGAAGGCAGCAGCAGGCTGATATCTGATCTGGAGGCCAGCCTAGTCTAGTCTACAGAGCACGTTCCAGGACAGCCGTGACTATACAGAAAAACATTTCAAAAAAAATTGTAAACAAAGAAATGGTTACTGAATGCTGGGAATAATGTATTATTGCCCCACTTACTTCCAGGTCTTCATTCCAAATAAGGGTAGAAGTTCTACAGTGAATGGACTCCTAAACATCCAAGGAACTAGTTAGGACAAGGATCAACTCCATCCTACACAGTGTATAGTGGCAATACAGTATAAAAGGATTTCAGAGTAGGAAAAAGATCCTGGATTCTGATTTGAACTCTCCATTTAATTCTGCAGATGTTATGAAAGTATTTTGAGCTGTTTTCCTTAGATAACCATTCCTCTCTGAGAGCAGCCAGAATGACAGTACAGTCACCAGTGTCTGGCACACAGTGGTAACTATTGTTAGTCTGGGCTGCCGTGACTGTGGATATGGTATGCTATACCAGAGAAGTCAAACAGAGCAGGTTTGATTTAGAGATGAGGAAAAATAACAGCATGGCTGCTCAGTGGCCTGCAGATCTGACTGCAGATTTCTAGGTATTTTCCTGAGGTTCTGCTTAAAGCCCTTCTGTGCGGAGCAGGAACTCATTTACAGTGATAGAAAACACAACCATCCTTTTGTCTTCTTTCCTAAAACAACTGTTGTGTGTGGGCAGTCATGCCATGGGCATGTATGAGGCTTGAGTACAATTTGTGCAGTTGGTTTGTTTCACATTTTGCATGGGCTCCAGGAACTGAACTCGGGTTTGTGTGGCAAACATCTTTACCCAACAAGCCATTTTGCAAAAATTATCCATGCTTTTCTAAAAAACATCTTATGTATTTATGTGAGTCCACAGTACAAGTTTGTGGCAGGCAGAGGATGATTTTTGGGTGGTGGTTCTCTCCTCACACCAGGTAGGTCCATGATACTAATCTCAGATCAGTAGGCTTGCTTAGCAGTGAGTGCCTTTATCCCTGAGCCATCTCACTGACCCTCAAGCATGGAGACAGGGTTTTTCTGTGCAGCCCTGGCTGTCCTACACCTCAAGTCTGTAGTCCAGGCTGGCCTCGAACTCAGAGATCCACCTACCTCTGCCTCCCAAGTGCTGTAATTAGACAGCAGGGCAGTGGTGGTGCTTGCCTTTATCTGGCCAGAGAGCTTCAGGAACCTGCCTGTCTCTGCTGGTGCTACACATCCCTGTGCCAGGCTTTGACATGGGTGCAGGAGAGGCAAACCATTCATTATGCTTGTACTGCAAGCACGCTACTGACTGAGTCGCCTCCCCAGTCTACAGACTACTTTCTGTATCAGAAAGGCAGTTCAGATGGGGGCCCTCGTGTTCCTCAGAGGCCCCTCCACGTACCCTCATCCAGCAGCACCTGAGTGGCAGATCTGCATTTTCTACACACCTCACACTTCAGACAGGCTGTCAACAGCCACTCTAAAAGAGGTCACATACAAGGCTTTCCTACAGGTGATGTACACCGTTTTCCTAACAAAACCAAAAGAAAAGTATACAAAATGAAGGACTCAAAAAACTTTAATTGTAAAGTCTTCCGTCTTTTAAGGGAGTGCCGGTGAGGCAACCTTCCGAAGGACTTTATAAACCTGATTCCCGGTGATATGTGAGGTGACCTGAGCATTTTAAATCAGTTTAAGAAAGCAAAGGCAGCCAGCACAGGGGCAGACAAGTTGACTTAATGAAAACACAGTCAAACAGACATTTGAAAGTCAAAGAGAAACAGAAAGGCGTAGTGGTCGCTGGAAATGCTAATACTGCGCGTAAGTAGTGACCTTTAAAAAAATTGAGACCCCCAAACAGAGGCAAGATTCCAAATGTTATCCCCCCAGATAACATTTCATGTGATTTAACCAGGTAAGTAAAATGTGGCAGAGAGGGCTGAGCTGATCCCTGGGTGAAGCAGCAGCACAGTTATTGTAAGTCTTAGGAAACTGAATTCTGCACGCGAAGATGGTAGAAGACGGCAAGAGTTCATTACTGTCAACGGCTATCCATCCATCTGATGAGATACCCGAGCTTCTCTTTGACCCTTGCTGTAGAACCCACCAAAAGAGCAGAAGAAAAGGCAAATGCTCATTTTACTGTTTTTATTTCAATGTAACATGCAGTAAGAAAAAAAAAAAAAAAACTTAACAAGTTAATTAGCATTTATGATGCTTACAGAGAAAAAGGTCTTAAAAGCAACTTAGTTCAGATTTAAGGAAAATCGCTCATTTAACACTTACAATAAGTCTATTATTTCCAAATACTCATTTTGGACAAAAATTTGAGAGTATTTGGTAAATATTTTTGTCTGCTGTTTAGTCGCATTATTTTATATACTCTCTGATTCTCGGGATAGCCAGCCCCCATTTTCCTAACACAGCAGGGAAGACATATACATGTGATCAATTAAATTAAAGGAAGAAATGGAGTTGGGAGACTCCAGGGCTGCAAAAATATATACAAGCATTTACCTTTTCTAGAACTAAACATTTCTTCCATAAAAATATTAAATAGCCAAGCCCTATAGAACTAGGGCCAGGACTACTTCAAATATAACTTCTGTATTTTAAAAATATAGGGCAGAAAGCCTTTTGGATGATATTTATACATTTTCACATAATATTTCTAGGTCCCTAAATGAATCATGAAGCATTATGCAGAATCAACAAAGCCTATTTTCTTACATTATCTCTTAATTTAATCTCATAAATCTTTAGTAAATATGGTAAATAACTATATTTTAGTACAAGAATTGGATTCACTAGGAAGTCTTTGTAGGAGGCTTAATGTTTATAGCCATTTATTACCAAAGTTCAGGCCTATGTTGTGACTGGGTAGTTGGCAGACATTCGCTCTGTAAGACAAAGCAATAGCATCATATACATTTTTTAACCCTACCAACAAAAAGGCAGAGATTTGCTACTTTGGATATAACTAGGGCTTCTAGAGATGACACATATTTCCTGTGGCATATAGGATTAAAGAAAGGGGGGGGGCTGGGGCGGAGCTGAGCTCTCCCTTCACTGACAGCTTCTAGATGAGGCAACCCTTCCTCGGTCACGCACGTGTCTGCTGATGATGGCAGTGTTAAAGACGACAGCTGCACGAGTTCAACGGTTCCAGGATGAGAACAGGAAGAGCAGCTAGGGATAGAAACATTTCTTTTCCTACGGGACGGGGGTTTGTCACACTCTATTCTTGGCTTCATGCTACAAGTTCATGCTATGCCACTGCCACATGTCAAGGTCCCTGTTAAGACTTATAAGGCTGAT